TGAGTCAGGGGAGGTGCACCTGCCCCCACCCCCTTGGGATGCAGGCCCTCTCCTTTCTGGCATCTCTTCTGCCCCTGTGTCCCCGTTTTTTCTTGTCTGTCCTCTGTGACTGTCTGTGCACCCGTAGGCTCTCTGTGTGTGTGTGTGTGTGTCACTTTGGGGGTTAGTTTACCAGGTTCCCCCGGCTCTCCATGTGCAGAGTTCATATCTACCTCTGAGCTCAGGCTGGAGGAGGAGGAGGCGGGGGCCAGTGCTCCAGACGCAAACGCTCTTTGGGAATTTCCTTTATCAGCATTACCATGTGTCTTATACTTTATAATCTCCATCCTTTTTCTTATGAATATGCAAATGTTTCTTTTTGAATGGCTCACTTCCTGGTCCAGGGCTGCAGATGGGGTCCTTAGCAATTGACGTGACCAGTGTGTGTTTCTCCTGCTACAGGGGGAAGGGCCTGCATGTGGCTCTGCTGAAATGACTCCCAGAGCAGGCTGCAGGGATGCTCTCAGTAAATCTACGGAACATTCCAGTCTCCCAGGCCACGGCGTCATCCGGAACATTCCTAAAGGGTCACCAGCCTTGCTGGATGACCCTGTGTAGGTAATGGGACTTGGTTGTTCAGAGATCCGATGTGAGGGAATTTCTTTGAGTGGAAAAAAAGTTTCTCAGGGGTGCATTTACTGCTGAGTAGGGAGATGAAGCCAGTGCCCAATCAGTTGGGGGTTTTGTTTTGCATAATTTGTTTGGTGAGCCTCTGGTACCCAGTACTCTGTCTGCTGCAGTGGTCACCCCAACAGCCGTGTAAGGCACATGGCTCAGAGGTCATGGTCTACCTGGGGGAGAAGAGTCAGATCCTGCTGGGGGATGGAGAGTGGCATCAGGCAGTTTTCCAGAATGTGTTCCTTAGTTCCAGGGGAGGTCAGCTGGCCTTGTGTGGAGGGACACAGCATGCAGTGATTCTCAAACATATCTGGCCACAGAATCCTTATCTCCCTTTTTTTAATCCCCAGTGTTCCTCCTAGCACTTAGATTTTTGCAAAACAACTTGAGAACTGCTTGTTATCAGAGAATCAAAAAGTGGAAAAAAATAGTATAATGAGCCCCACGTGTCTGTGCCCCTCCAAGGGCTCCTGATCACCCCCAGAGTCAGAGCCCGTGTCCTCCAGACTCTGAGACTTTCTGTGAGTCTAACATTATTTCAATATATATTTTAATTAAATAAAGCCACATTTTATTATTAACATGTGAGGAGACTGGCACTGAACCCACCAGCCCTGTGACGGAGAACATTTCCATCAGCAGAGCTGTGGGCTCCTTTGAGGCTGATGGAGAAAACTCCACGAGCAAGTCCTGCGTGTTGATCACCGTGCCTAATGGCATGGGGCTGGTTTATGTGTAAGAAAGGAAGGAGCTGAACAGCTGGGCTCAGGGAACGAGCCCGCTTCTGCTGAGCGACCCCCGGCCCAGCTCCTCTTGTCCGAGAATCTTCTCTGGCATTTCTTCAAGGTCGACTGGGTCAGCTCCACCCCAGGGAACACACTTGATTTACAGCTGCTCAGAGTGCACATTAACACCTCAACACTGGTGACTCCTCGGTGGTTTGATGGGCTTCACCCAGTGTTTTACAGACCTGAGGTTTCAGGATGACATGGAAATGCTTTTGGTGTGAAGATGTCCATTGTAGGGTTATTTACAACAGCAAGAACTGGGAACAACCAAACTGTCCCGTCATGGGGGGACAGTTCATTAAACTTTGATGTTCATCCTTAAGCAACCATGAAAAGCAGTTAATAAATGTAGTTTCATGAAATGGGAAAAGGCCCATGAAATGATGATAAATAAAACAGGCAATATTTATAATGCCTGAAGTGCGTAAGTGCCCCTGCCCGGCCCTTGACCGCGAGGTTACTCTAACTCAGAAGTGCAGTATTCTTAGAAGAACAGCTGGCCACTCACCCAAGCCACATTCTCCAAGAGAGCTTTATCACTGATAAAGCTGAAGTTTTAATCTCCATCCAAAAAAAAGCTCATTTGCAGTGTGACCTCAATCACGTCTAAAAATATATCCAAAAATTCTCCAAGGAAAAAGACCAAAACGCATTTTCAAATCTTACTCAGTGGACACATTTTAATTTCATTTTTAAAATAATATAGAAATAACACCATGTAATTTTAAAAGGCAATACAGGAGTTTGCCCTTATTGCCATGTTGTCTGATGCAAATTATATACTAAAATTACATGTCTAGATCTAGAAAGACCAATTGGTTTCCTCTAGCAAGCCAACTGCAAAAGATTAGTAGTGTCTGCTGCCCAAAGATCCTGAGGCCTCATCTCGAATCAATAAAACGGTGAGGCTTGACTTCCTGACAATGTTCGCGTGGAAAGGGAGTACAGGAGATGCGCTCTGTGATACGGATGAACATCCTCTACCGCAGCGCAGATGTGAGAGGAAGGAAAAAGAGTGGGGGGATGCAGCGGGTGGGAAACTGCCGTCCTCAGAGATGCCCACGTCCCAGTCCCTGGAACCTTGTGTGGCATAAAGGAATTACGACTACAAGAGGAATTAAGGTTGTTAATCCTCTGACTTTAAGACAAGGACATTATCCTGGGTTATCCAAAGATGCGCTGTAGTCACAAGGGTCCTCATCAGCTGGAAGAAGAGAGTCAGGGAAGGACAGAGAGAAGGGATGCTCGCCCGGCCCTGGAGACAGAGGAAAGGGCCCTGAGCCGAGAAATGCGGGCAGTGCATAGGAGCCAGAGAGCAAGGAAGTGGGTCTTCTCTTAGTGCCCCAAGAAAGAACACAGCCCTGCCATCACCTGGGCGCTAGCTCAGCGTGACCCGTGCTGGAACTCTGAACCACAGAACTACAACATAATAAACATGTGTTGTTTTAAGCTACAAAGCTGGGAATAATTTGTCACAGCAGCAATGGAAAGCTAATGCAGGGGTGGACAGGAGGAAAGGGAGAGGGCAGTTACTGTTAGGATGGGGGCGGTGGGCAGGAATCAATTTCACATGGTCTCCTCAGCCCCAGCAGCTGAGAAACAAGACTTCTGCCCACGTGTACTAGAGAAGCATCCCAGCCTGGAGGAAGGGAGGAGCCGAGGGCTGACTCAGTGGTTCTCACTCAGGCCTGAATCGCATCCCCAGCTGGGGTACCACTCAGCAGTGGGGATGCCTAAATCCACACGGAGCCCGTGGGAAACCCGCCATGACCCAGGGTTCAGCGGAGCTCGGGCTCCTGAGGCCCCACAGCGCACAGCAACTGTAGAGGGCAGGAGAAAACCAAGAACCACACGTGAGAGGGACATCCTCCATCAACGCCCCCTGCCACCCAAAAACACTTCTGCATGCAAACCAAAGATTCCAAAAACCTTAGGAACAAGTCAGTAAGGATTTCAGGACAGAGAGACTGACTGTGCTGCTGTGTCTGGTTAGGAAGGGAAAATGATCCACCCTGAAAACGAGGAATGAACGAGAGGTCTAGCTGGAGTTCTGGAACAGCAAGGACAGAATTAACCTTCCCGGTCTATGTTTCTCGTCTCTGTGGTGAGAGCTGCCCTGACTCTGCGTCCTCTGGCACTGTAATTGCACTAGTCTAAGAAAATTGAAAGTCCCCCAAAGAAACGCGTCTCTGAGGCATGAAATATGAAATAAAGCTCTTACTTTTAATTATGCACAAAGTATGCAAACACAGAACACCCCGACTGAGACATTTCACACTCCCACGAGGGGACATGTGGGTCTCACCTAAGGAACTCATGTTTAGTGCAGACGTTCAGGCAGCTACAGAAGCAACAGGTGCAGCGGCCTCAGGTGTCCCGGGGCCCCCTTCCTCCCACGACGGGTGACTGAGAAGATGCAGTGAGAGGCGCTCAGGCCTGGGATTCTCGCTCCCTCACTTCCTGGACCACTAAAGCACGTCTGCCCGAATCCTTCCGATCCACACGGTTTCTTAACCACAAGAGGAGATCATGTGACCTCATCCCAAGGCTGCTCTGAGCATCAGATGAGCTTGTCAATGGGGAGGGTCCTCATCACCTCAGAAGGGGTGACAGCACAGGCTGGCTGCTATTATAATGACAGCAGAAGCCTGTAGACAAGGGTGTCGAGGAAAGACTCATTGGGGTCACTTAACTTCCCCGAGGCAAATCCGGGCAATGATATCTACACGCAAAGATCAGAGTTGAGGGCTGTGAAGTTCCTGGCACAAGACGGGCACACAGCAGACATTCAATAAATGCCCCTTTGAGTGTGGTGACCCACAGTCCCTTCCACGTCCTACCGCGCTCTGGGACTTAGCGATTTTAAGGGTCAAGTTGCCAAACGCCGAGCAGAAAATTTTTTACTAAACAAAATCACTGGACCAGAGTTCTTATTGTCGATAACTGCACCAGGAGCAGTGGCCGAGGGGATATCAACCGGCGCTATTACAAGAATGAGGCGAGTCGCGGTCCTGGAGTCCCTGCTGCAGGT